CTTGATCAGGCTGGTGGTGTTGTTGCTCCAGCTGAGGTTGTCATTCAGGTGCACACCCAAGTACTTGTAGCTGGAGACCACTTCCACCGCAGATCCTCTTATGTTCAGGGGGGTGTAGGTGTTTGTTTCTTCTGAAGTCCACAATCATCTTCTTTGTCTTCTTCACATCGATGTGAAGGTTTTTGTCTTTGCACCAGCTCTCCAGATGTTCCACCTCCTGCCTGTAGCTGGACTCGTTTGTGATGTATCCAGTTACCAATCAGTCTAACATGTATGTTTTTGGTCTGTGGGAGGAAACTGGAGTACCCGGAGAGAACCCAAGCATGCACAGAGAACATGCGAACTCCACCCAGAAAGGCCCCCAGCCGGGATTTGAACCGGGGTGACCTGCTCGCTGAGAGGCAGCAGCTCTACCAACTGCACCACCGTGCTGCTGTTTCTGTAAAATAAACGAGTGTTTGAGGTGTTGACTGCTAACAGTTGATGACAAATGTTATCACTCAGATGATGTTTTGCAAGTACCTGTGGTCTACTACCACACCAAGTTTCAGGTCTTGTCTGTAAATCTGACAACCTCAAGTCATTTTAGGGGTTTTGAGTTCGGTTGGATGTGGCAGCCATCTTGAATCAGGCTGACTCCAAACGTTAATGGATTCGTTCAGTTTTCACTCTGAAAGTTTCATTGAAATGTGTTCAGTTGTTCTGGAGATATTTTGCTAACAAAAGCAATGGAACCCTGCAGCCAGTAGGTGATGGGGAAACTTCACCCACTTTCCTTTAAATGTAAAAGACTTGCTGCTGTGTGCTGGCCTTGTTTGTATTTATTGAAGTAGTTTTAATAAGGATGCACATCTGGACAGAGAATTTGATCTTTAGATATTTCCAGAGACGATAACCGGCCTCCCCTTCATGAAGGAAAACAACTTTCCAAAGACTCAGCACATTCTGCCGTCTTTAAATGGCTATAGATGAACTTTGGACTGTTCTGAACGTTCTCACTCAGCGTTGTAGAGAGACCTGGATGGATCAGCTGCTTCATCAGACGTTTCTTACCCGCTGTGATTTAAAAAAAAAAAAAAGGTTGAGCTTCTACAGGATGCCTTTTTTTTTTTTAAAGATTTATATTTGTTTATTTATGTTTATTAGTTTGAATCGGTTGCAGACTGACAACAACCACCCCCACACCGCGCTTCACTGATGCTGCGTCTTCATTTTCAGTGTGTCTGCGCACATGCATGAAACAAAACTATTTTAAGTATCAGCACAAATCTGTCTTTGATGTATTCAAGGCCCCGCCCACAAAGTTTTTCTTTCAGTCCACACTGAAACTGTTTTGGGATCCACTAAACCATATTTTTCAAAAACTGGTTCCAGAGTGACGTTGTCGTGTGGACACCTAAAACAGCATTTTGAAAACTGACATCACAGACGCACCTCTGACCCCGAGCGTAACCGACGGCAACAACACAATGACAGATTGTGTCACTTTATAAACTGCAACAAAACCTTTCATGTGCTTCATGTTTTTACTTCAGTGAACCGACGAGGCTGATCAACAATAACACTAAAATAACTTTACACCAAATACATTAAGGCCAAAAAGAGTTGTATCATTTTATTGGATATTTCTCTCCACAGATCAATAAACAAACTTTGCAGAAATACACTGCAGTACATCAAACATGTGGGTCATGAGAACGGCTTTAAAAGACCGAGTATTTAAATACCGTTCTAGGTGTAACACAGGTCACCATCAAAAATTGGGTTACCTCATCTAAATCCAAGATGGCTGTCACCACTATATATATATATATATATATATATATATATATAAATAAATTAAATAAATTTAAAAAAAAACAAACAAAAAAAAACTGGTCACTCCAGTCATTTGAGGAAAATGCTTCCTAGTTTTTATATTGCTTTAAAGTATAGTTTCTTAAAATGATTGGGGTGGCTTATGATTAATCTATGGGGGCAATGGCCACCATTTGGCCACTCCCTGGCTCCACCACTGCTCTGGTTGTGGATAAATTTTCCCTCCAGGCTCCGTCACTGCGCTGCCTCGGACAATTCAAAACAGTTAATACAAAGAAACTACCTCTGTTCTTCTCCACTTGAACATTTTGCAGCAAAAACATTCAGGTTTACTTGTTCCCTGTTCAGTTCCAGTCTAGAAAACACTCGTCTTGAAAACCACAAACCTTCACCGTTCAAATCGCTCGGCGACGGGGGACATCGGCGCCCTGCTCGTTTGTCTTTTTCTTCTTGGAGTGTTTCCAGTTTTAATCGTGGGCTGTCTGGTTCCTACCTTACCTGTGATTTCTCTGGGCATGCTCTACACCTCGTTTCCTGTTTTTGGTGTGTTTTATGTGGCAACGTTGCAGCGCCACATACAGGCCTGGCATATTTACAGGAGCGTTTTGGATGCTTTTAGTATTTCCATGTAAATAAAATTTTTTTATTTTTTTTTTTGTTTGTTTTTTTAAAACTGACTTGTTTACAAGGATAGTTTTAGAAACGACAAACAAAAACTGATTGTTTTCTGGTTTTGGACGAGGCGTAAAGATTTAAAGCTTCCCTGCAAATCTCAGCGAACGTCTGGTTTTGTTTTGCAAACGAGTTTCAGCAGCGACTTGCAAATCCAGCTTTCTGCCTCGGCAGCGGAGACGACTGATTGTGTTTTTGTGTATTTTATCTACAGATGGAGCCGGCGTGGTGTTTGACACCCGCTCCAAGATGGTCATGTCCCAGGGAGGAACGGCTGAGAGGATCAAGGAGAAGGTGAGACGGGTGGAATCTGAAACAGGAAGTGACATCATTTGAGTTAGCTGCTAACATTATTATTATTATTCAGCTTCACTGACTGAGCTGCACTTTGGCAGCAGTAAATATGGAGTATATGCTTTAAGTGTTGCAATGAGAATATTTACTTGTGTTGCTGAGTAACTTTGTCATAAACGACCTGAACCGCCTAGAAAAGAGACTGCTTGAAATTCATCAGCTCCTGTGAGCTGTTTATCTAGAATGGAGCAAAACATAAGGCGGTTAATAGTTTTCCTTTGGTGGGGGCACGTTTTGTGCCCGCCCTTCCAGGGGTTGGAAAGTTAAATGTAGAATAGTTCAAATAAATGAGGAG